CAGACACACACACACACACACACACACACCCCCAAAGGCAAAACACATCCAAATACCTGGGTCAACACTCATGAAAGCAACCATCAATAGATAAGATGATTGCATATAGGTCCCTACTCTCACTCCCTCCACACTCGTATACTCCGCTTTAAAACTAGGTGGTTGCAATAGAATTAATCCACCCGGGACTGAAACGCGTCGGGTCCCTATGGAGAGCCTATATGATTTCAGCACTAGGGGCTGGACAGCTCCTGGACCGGGCTGGGGTAGCTCCTTGTCTTGACACAGAACCGTCCGGCTTATGAAAATGCCTGCGCCGGCGGGGGCCAGGTAGGGGCTTCATTCGAAGCTCCAACAAGTTGTTACAGCAATTCAGGACTCAGCAACTTTCCGAAGAGCCTGTTACCTCCGCGTCCCGAGCTGCAGCTTTGCTCCCCAGCCTTGGACTGAGGCTGGTGCATTCCCACCTTCTCAGACCTGGAGCTGGAGCAGCAGTTTGGCTAGGATCCCGCGGGGATCCAGTCAATTCAGCTTCTCCAGCCGGCGTTAGACGCAACGCAGTATCCTCCCCCGCCCATCCCCCGGAACTGAAGAGCCCCTCCCAGCCACAGCAGCCCAAACTTCAGGTATTTGTACCAGGGGGCTGGGGAACTCCTCCCAGCAGAGGCGGATCTGGTAGACTGAATAAATGGAAAGCACTAAGGGAGAAAAGGGCTTGTGTTTCCCTTCCCTGCTGGAGTCTGCCAGAAACAACCTGAAACACGTCGGAGAAAGACGCTGGAAACCACCCAAACCTGTGGGCAGGCTATTGGGAGAGGCAAGGCAGCATCACCGCTGCTGGAGGGAACCAGCGGAGTTTGGAAAGCTTTGCATGCCCTGCAGAGGGCGGGAGGCGAGACCCGGCTATGAAGTTATTGCACTCCCCCCATTGACCAGCATCGAGGAAAGACGTCGCCGAGCATCCCGAAGAACTGCGAGGGAGGCAAGCAGGGGGCTGCGTTGTGGAGATCATTCATTTCCCACCCTCTCCTCGCTGCTCAGGGGGTAGGCACTGCTCTGGAAAACAGCAGAGAGGTGAAGGGAGCTCGATGTGACTGCAGGCAAGTCCTCTCCGTAGCTGCTTTCGTGGGGGAAAACTTGGAAGGACAGACAGGCTGAGAGTGCTTCTCCCGCCCCCCATGAGATCCCCCGGGGCTGGGAGGATGCCTGCGGAGCCCCTCGCCAACCTGAGCACGCAGCTCCCTGCAGGCAATGCCAGCCACGCCGGGGTGCCTGGGGAGCTGGAAGAGGACCTCCTGCCTCCTGCCACCCAAGCCGCCGTGTTCATCATCCGCTGTGTGATCCCTTCGCTTTACCTGCTCATCATCACCTTGGGCTTGCTGGGCAACATCACGCTGATGAAGGTCTTCATCACCAACAGTGCCATGAGGAGCGTGCCCAACATCTTCATCTCCAGCCTGGCTGCCGGAGACCTCTTGCTGCTGGTGACCTGCGTGCCCGTGGACGCCTCCCGCTACTTCTTGGAGGAGTGGATGTTCGGGGAGGTGGGCTGCAAGCTCATCCCGGCCATCCAGCTCACCTCGGTGGGAGTGTCTGTCTTCACACTCACGGCCCTGAGCGCGGACAGGTAAGATATGTGTGTGTGTGTGTGTGTGTGTGTGTGTGTGTGTGTGTGTGTGTATGAGAGAGAGAGAGAGAGAGAGAGAAACAAGTGTTATGAGCAGGGATCCTGGTTTTCCGTGATTTAAAGAACTCCCCAATTTTCAATTTAAAAAAATTAACCCCCAAACCACATTTTTCTGGGATTTCAATGAAACACCACTAATATATGCATGTATGCATATTAGCAGTGTTTCACTGAAATCCCAGAAAAATGTGGATTGGGGTTACTTTTTTAATTGAAAATTGGGGACTTTTCAAAAATCAGACAAAACAAGGATCCTTGGTTATGAGTAACTGAGGTCACCAGAAATAAGCCGCATAAACCACTCATTTTTTTTAACAGCTCACAGCCCAGGCGGTCCTATTGCAATTCCTAGTGCTTCACTCCCTCAACGTTTCTCTTTCATTTATAGCCGCACACTTTCCTATTGCTGTTCCCCTGATAGGAAACCATGGAACGGAAGTGCTAATCCTGGTAGGGCTTATTAATTTCCATAGAACTTGTAGCGTCCATATCCCACTTCTTTTTTTTTACTACTATGGACAGCCGCATAAGAGTGAAGCATCACTTCCAAGGCTTGAAGTCCCCAAAGTGACCCAGGTACATTTTGTTGCAAGAGTTTAAGGAACAAACCATCCACTTTCAGAAATGAATCTGCCAGATGTCATGGATCTGTCACATTTAATTTTTTTAGGAATGAATCTATCATGGACATATTTAGAGAGAGTTGCATTTTAGTTTAAAGAATTTCTAGCAAGGCAGAGAGACTGCTTGGTGTGCCTGTGTGCATATAAATGTGTTTTAAATGTAGTATTTTTGCTCTGCAGCAGCAGCAGCAGCAGCAGCAGCAGCAGCAACAGCAACAGCAAGCTGCCAGAAAATATTACCAGAACTAGTTTCTTACTATAGGAATGCCCATTCTTTGTTTTGTCATATTGGTGGACAGTTTCCCCTAAACTGTTTCTAGAAAGCAGTCATGCCCTTTTCAGCTTCACTGCAAGCACCTGGAAAAACAATCACCAGCCACCACCATCCCAGTCACCATATAAACAAAACCTTCAAGACTTGCTTGTATTTAAAGTTTTCAGCCCTGCAGCCTTTTCTCTTAACTGATTTAAAGGTCTTAGTCCCGGTGTAAAAAGCAACAGCATCAGACTCTGAGCTTTACAGGACAAAGTATGGCAAAAATGATTCTCAGCTTCCTTTAAACTTGCATGAACTCTCCCCCTCAACCCCCCCCCCAACCTTCCTTCCTTTCTCTTTCTGACCTTTTTCTTCAGCTACACATAAACATCCCTGAATTCCACAAGTTAATACTCTTGCTGACTTCTACAGGAGTTTTATCTGAGTATTTTGGCTTTGAATGTATAATGTTTATAAAGGTTTGTGTTTGAAAATATAGCTTGAACATTAGTAGGAGGTTTTAAAAAACCCTGTAAAAATTGTATCTTTGGGGTACTTATTTCAGGTCTTCAGCCACCTTCCTAGCAAACTTGATTCCTTCTAAGAACCTGTTCCAAAATCCTCTGAAGTTAATTTGACTTTTGCTGGCTTTTGGATTAGTTCTATACATTTATATAGAGCTATCTCTCTATCTATCTGTCTGTCTAGCTATCTATATATAGAGAGAGAAGGAGAGAGAGATGTCTATATATACATATATGTATTTACACACACAGATATACATATATACACATGTATACATATATATATCTATATAGACATAAAGATATATAGACATATATCTCTCTCTATATATGTGTGTTTATTTTTGTATGAAGCCCTCACAGCATATCAATATACTATACTTTTTTGCTACAATATAAAACAAAACATTAAAGTTTCTAATCATATCAGTTCAGTAATTTATCTCAAATTGCCCTCAACTTTATAAAGCATGAACGTGCAAGAAAATTGCATTTTGCTACATGTGATATTTCTTTTAAAAGTATAATCACAACATGCTATTTGATATGGGAGGAATTTTTCTGAGAGGGATGTCAAAACTTCAGAGATATATGAGTGAAGGGAGGCAGTGGTAGTGTAGTGGGTCAGGATCTACTCGGTTATTTTACTTTCAACAGCTTTTTTGGTGTTTGATTATTTTTGTATTGTATGTACAACTGTGTATCTTTTCTCTAAAACTAATGAAGATATAAGTAGTAAAAATACTGAATTGATGAAGACTATTTTTAAGTCAGTGTTTCATGACCTGGAAAACAGCTTATGCCCTTGTAACTCTACCATACAAATATAATTTAATCACAGGTGTATTCCTTCAACATTTCAGAGGTTTGTGCTATTTTATGAATTTCAGAAAAGGGAAAGCCAAACATACTATTTCATGGTTCATTTTCTTCCTTTTTTCCATAGATTTTGTTTTCTTTTACGGAGAATGTATTAGTTTAGTAGATAATTACCAGCCTTGATGCTACTGACTTAATTAGGTCTCTAATTCAGTCTCTGCTACTTTGGAGTCTGATTTAACTTTCATAGAAGCCAACTACAGTCTTAACTTAATAGGCTTCTAAAGCCTCCTTGTATGTGTGTTTCTAGGCTAGAAACAATAAGCTAAGTAGGAGGCACTGATGCCAATGTGATGCAGGATTACAGTATGTGTTAAAGGGGCTTATAGTTTAATATGCATTTAATTTTATGCACAATAAATGCATTCTTTTTGCTGGACTACTCTTTTTACTGCTATCCTTTGAAGTATTTCTCAGTAAATTGTAACAAAAACGTTTGCTGTTTTTTATTCATAATTTGATAATCTTTAGGTTTCCACTAGAAAATGCAAATACTTTAAAGAAGAGATTCATATTCTTTTTTTTTAGCTTTTGGATGGAAAAGGGATAAAAGGTTTTCCTTTAAACTTCAGTGGGTTGAAACATTAAAAAACAGACCACCAGAGAAAAACTGGGATGGGAGAAATCTTAGGATGTTATCTATTCCTATGCCTTGGTCAAGGCAGGATCATCCCCATCTAAATTACCCCAACCAAGTGTTTGTGTAACCTGTTCTTATGGAGTCCCAAAGACTGATATTCTCCAATCTCTTTACCTAATCCTGTTCTAGTGCGTAACCACTGTCAGAGTTAGAATGTTATTTCTAACATCTAACCTAAACTTTCTTTGTTGCCATCTAAAACCATTACTTTTTGTTCTATCCCCTGTGGGCACCAATAATAATCTCTCTCTCACTCTATGGCATTTTACAATGTTTAAAATATCTAAAATTGATTTATAGTGTATCTACATAAATCATCATGTCTACTTGTATAAAGGGCATTGTCAAAAGAAAGGAGGTAAATAATAATGTAATTAACAGTCATCATAGAATCCTAGCATCTGAACATATTCCACATCCTATTCCATGTGCTACACCATGGGTGTCAAACTCACCACATACCCTGGTCCACACCTGAACTGTGGGGCTCCTCACAAACCAGACTGGACCTGGGGTGGTGGTAGCAGGACCAGTGCAGATGGAGGCAGGTCTGATACAGATAGTGGTAGGGACAGTGGAACTGGCAGTGGTGTGGTGGTGTGCCCAGCAGTGACTTGGATGGAGGCAGTTGGGTGGGGAGGGCATATCAGGGGCTGTGGTGGCTGTGTGGGACCAGCAGCATTAGGGCAAGTGACCACAGGGCCAGGAGAGCTGTGTATGGATGGTCCTTGATTACCATCCTGCTGCTGATGGCCACATCCACTGGGGCCCAGGGGTCCTGAATTCTTTAGCAGGCCATTTTCCATTTGTCATGCCCCCACTTCTTCTGGTTGCCCATTGATAGTATAGCAGGCTGGATGAAGCAGTTCCACAGGCCAGATCTGGCCCATGGGCCACATGCTTGAGCCCCTGTGCTACAGTAGTGATGGTCTCTGAGAATGAAATATTACAAGTACAATTTTCATAATTGACCATTGACTGTACACTGTGACCTTTGAGTAGTGACCTTTGACTTGTTTTGGGTGAAGGTCAAGTTTATATTCATTTCCCTATCAGAATACTTATACATAAACCAGAGCTTTAAAACATAAGAAAGCAGTAATCATTCCATATACATGGATTACTATAAGAGTAGTACAGATGTCAAGTAGAAACAGTAGTATCTACAAAATGCCTGGAAAAGAAGTATTAAATATGCCTGGAAGCCGAATAGAGTAAGTGCAAATTGACTGAGTTAAGATAATAAAACAGAAACCCAGCTTCTGTAAATGAAGTTTTTCTGATTCGTAGTAGCTCTGAATTTGGCTTAACATGTTTTTAAAAACCCCATTGGCTCTTTTTATGGCTCATACTTCATTTGTTTAGTCATATCTTTTTTATTATTGGACTGAGAAATAATTCTGTTGCTTTCGCTAAATTTAATTTTCTTTTTAAGGGTGAGTTTAAATGCAGTGTGTCAAATGCAGTCCTCCTTGTGCATTGTGCCCTTGAAATCAATGAAGTTAGCCCAGGCTACAACATACACACAGAATACACTTTTCTTTTTCTTCAGAAGCAAGTCAGGGATTGCTCTGATGAGACAGATATTAGCCTAGCTATGGAAGAGTCATAGGTGAAATCTTGGAACTGCAAATGGAACTTGGCTAGTGCTTCAGTAGAGCCAGAGCTTTGCCTCATATATTTTTATGAAATTTTAATTATGGTGATGTTGGTGCAGTGACGTTGCTGCGGCATCATGGTTTATGCCCGCCAGTGTTATGCCACCATAACGCATTGCTGTGGCGATGTAGCTTCTTGTGTAGACGCACCCTGTTGGAACTGTTCTGTGTCTTCCTTGTCTTATGGCCTTGTTCAATCACTTGCTTGATAAACAGAATTTACTGAGCCTGTATCACATTTAGTTGATGCCACAAGATAACAATCTTTAAGGAGGACGTGAACTGTACTGACAACACATTCAATAGAGGCATTAACCACAAAGCACAAGGTTTCATCCTGATACCTGTATCCATATATGC